ACTACAGTGGAGCCAAAATACCAGTCTTGGATTTTTTTGTGTTTACAAATTCACATGGAAAGCTAACACTGTTGGATTCTAAGTGTAGAAAAAACTACTTTGTCAATTCCATCCTAGCCTTTAAATAGAGGGGAAAACTTAATGGCTTTGAAAGAAGCTTTCATAGGTTAGCATTGTGGCTTGTGGTCAAAATCCAGTTTCAGGATTTTCAGACTATATGTAAAGCTGAGGTTCCTTGGGCATGGAAAAATGCCAGATGTTGTTGGTGGCTGTCACCCCCTTTTCTCCAAGATTAGACCAGTGGGTTTATTTTTTCCATCCGAGTTTTCAAATCTACTATAAAACTCGTCTCCTGGATGAAAAATTAGCCTGTTGGTGTCCTTACTAAGATTCTTAAACCTATTGAGAGTTAATGGTAAGAAAAGTTATCCTGAGTCCGAGCCATATGAAATATTTCTAAGGATTGTGTTTAAGAGCTGTTATGCATATGAAGGGGGTGCGTGTATGTGTATGTGGATATATGCCTACATGCTTGTTCATGTTTTGTCATTTGACAACATTTTTTGCAAAAATCTGTTGTTGCAGTTATTTAAATGTCTGTTTTAAGAGAGAGTTCACATAAATTTGTCTCTGTGTTTATGGTGTCTGGATAACTGGTATCTATATCCAGATAGCATGTCAATTAATGATATTATTAACAAAATTGTTATGGATTTAAGACTCCATTACAAATCTCGTTAGTGGCTGTCCATTTACAAATCTCAGTTGTCTTAAGAAGATTTATGTATAAAAATCTGCATCTGTGTTGAGGTTTATGGATGATATGCTGTGTTGATTTGCCACACTGGTAGCTAGGAGACCTGAAAACTGACAGTTTCATTGTCTGCTTGCAAATGATTTTTCTCTTCTTTAAGACTATAAAATTTTGCACTGAAACAGTTTAGTTACTAGAGAGAGCATAATACATTTCTAGGCTTGTACATGTTAAAAATAATCTTCCACAAAGCATGACACACACGTGCACAGCGGGGTGGACCATATTTTTCAGATTTCAGTCCATTTAGTAGTATAATAATACTAGGGTTCTTTCAAGATTTACATTGCCCTTCCTAATCTGGTAACTACCTATATTCTTTTCTATACTGTAACACCTTATGTGCAGTTTGCAATTATGTTTTAATAAAACTTGATATTGTTGAAGAGGCTTCGAATGAATGAAACAAATGTGTTTTCCTGATGAGGAGGAATAAATAACATAAAATATTGAAATATTTAGTAGATCATTAGCTTGTATTTTCTCTGCCATTATCATAGATCTCATTTATATTAGGGTGGTGGTGATTTAAACAGGAAAAAGACTACTTATATTAACTTCTCTCCTTAATTAGGGATAGAGGAGCCAAAGGATAATGTCCAAGTGCAAATATTTTTGGAGTAAATACAGCTTAGGATATTTTTGGCCCAACAGCTGCTTGCTAGGCTGTTCTCTTTTCAGTGTTTCTTCTGGCACAAGAGAATGTGGGTGATGTTTTATAGCACTGCTACTTTGACCCAGATTCTCTCGTGGTAGACACACATTCTGCTCTGCAACTGTCATTGTGGTTGTTTACACTGACAGTGTCCTGAAAGCAATAAATGTCTCTTAAAACCTAGTAGGAAGTTCAAAAAATCGCAATAATTTTGTCAGTGCTGTCTGCTCTGGTTTGTAGTATCTAAGTGAAAAACTTTTGATTCAGTCAAGAATTGTTGTGTCTCTATGCCTCGACTTTTTAATTTCAGTTTTATGATATTTTAAGACATATATTTTAGTGTGTACGTGTTTCATATAAAGATTTTGTATACTTAGTTATGCCTGTAGACCATTGTAATATATGGTATGTGGCACAAAGAGCATGAAAAATCGGGCACCTAGCCCAACTATTAATTTAGAAGGGAGGAGAGAGATGTTGGCTGGGGCAGGGAGAGTTCTGAGGCCAGTGGGAACTGGAAAGCAGGAGACTGTTGCCTCCCATCACTTTGAGAGGTTGTACCAAACTGCTGTATTGCTGTAAGCACCGAAATGCCTTGCTGTTACCTTTCATTGTGTAAAATGTATTTTATCCGTATGAGTTATTTGATGTACAGCTGGATAGATTGTAGGTAGTTTTCATTGTCTTCAGCTGACGTGACATTTTCCTAAACCCCCCCTCTTCCGTGTGGATTGCCTGGTAGTTATCTTACGGGCAGGAGATGATTCCTGTTGAGCTGTAGTCTTTTTGGAGAAGCTTGCTAATTTAGCAAGTTCAGAGTAGGCCTGTATATGCTTGCCACCAAATTGTGTATCAGTATGGAGATGAAAGCAGCGAGGTACAGGAGAAAATCGATGTATGGTTTTATTTGTACATATCAATAATCCGAAAGGGGCAAGGGGCAGAAGACAGAGAATGAAAGATAATCATTACTCCACCAGCTGATGGATGTTTCTTTAGGAACTAGTGAGAGTCAGGATTTTGATTCTTTTAAGTGTTAACCTGTTCAGAGTAATTTCCAGAACACCTCTTAAAACGTTTTGTGGCACAGTCTGTTAGGGTCACGTATTTTTGCTACCAATTACATCACTTAATGCATTTTACGTATTCTTTTTGCATATATGATTCAATGCTAAATTATCCTGAAAAGAAATTTTTGGAAGCTTCTAGCATGATCTGACATTTTCTGTTTTCTTGTAATGTATTTGCTAAATTTTTTTTAGAACTCAGTCATTTCAAAACTATTCTTAAATATTTGTCTGTTGCCAGTGGAAATGGAGAGTTGAGATATTCATTGAAACTACAGTAGAAAGTTTCTCCCTTCTGTTGTTTTAACCTCTCAGTGACACTGTACTCATTAAAAACCTTGCTGGACTGTAATGGGCACCTGGGATAGTGTTCAAAAAAAAGTGTAGTCTGAAAGATGAGGTCAGTCTATTCTGTTCTTTCCAAGAAAATATTTTCCTGCCTTGGCATGACTGCCAATAATTAACAGTCTTGAGCAACAGATGCACCCACTTGTATTTATTTGGCAGCTAAATACTGCAGTTATTTGCTACAGTATTTACAGTGTGCTGATGGAGTTGAGTTTTGGGCATTGGAATAGTCATTGAATAAAGACAAAACAGTTTGCTGCTTGTTCAGTTAATATTTTTTTGTGAGTTCTTATTACTCTTTCAGAAATAAAGGTTATTTTAATTTTCTCTCATAATTTCATTCCTTTCGCATGATGCAAATCATTCTTGGTCAGCATTAACAATTCACACAGAAAATAGGGCAATCTTCTATAACCCTGAAGTAAATAGTGAAGAAGATGCTAAGAGAATTTGATTATTAGGTTCCCAAGCAGGAGCCTAGAAAGATATAAGAAGATATACAGGAGTAAAAATATTTATTTTTCCTCTGTATTACATGGAACACATTGTAGGTCCTTATAACCTACGGATGCAAATAAAGTCCCTCAGCTGCCATAAACACTCCAAGTGTTTGGAGAGTAAGTGTTTTTGCTTGAACTTTCATATTGCATTAATAAAATTTTAAAGAAAACTCTTTCCACTGGTGTCAAAGTAGGGTGCTTTGCAAGGTGGTGTCCTGAAAAGGTTGATATAGATAAAGTAAAAAACAGGACATGCCCCAGAGGTATTGCACTTGCTGTCTCTGCTCGCCCAGCTGAGCTGGTGCAGATTTAATGTTTCCAGAAGTGGCTATAGCCTATTATTAGAATGATTTGGCTTGAGAGGTACGCATTCTAAATCTGTTTTAGGAACAGAATCATGCTGTGAGCAGTACTTACAGTACACTCTGTGTAGCGCTGCTGATCCTTGCCTGCTGCATTTCTGTTGGCTGTTAAGGTCACTGTGCTAAATAGTTCGCCTGAAATGCCTGTGCCTACACAGCAAAATGGAATAGGTTATGGTGGCACATTACATCATATCTAAACTGGTTTAATTTCACTGGCACAAGGAAAAATAATGGAACAGTGGCAGTTGAGATTGTGCTTTGGTTGTTGGTGGATGCTAAAGCCAAGGTTTCTGCATCCTTCAGCAGTTACCTGTGCGTTAATGGTATGGATGTGTAAGTGGAGTCCACAACTACACTTTTCTTTGGTGGTGTAAATCTACCTTCTGCTAGTGGTGATAAATAGTCCTAATGTTGTCTCTAGAGGAACTGGAAAAATACTGTTTCTGAAATTGGTATTATTTACCCCATATAATTCCTGATTTTAGACTTGACTCTACAAATGCCTAATTGTGTCCATTGCATCATTAATGTGAGCTGGTTTGTATAAACAAATGGAGTGACCAGAAGACAGTGGTGCCTTTTTATGACACACAATAAACATCAAATACAGTGCTATTCAAATACTCAAACCATTGATAAAGGTCAAAACAAATGCATTCAGTTGAGATCAGCAGTGCATTTAGATGAATTAGTGATACTTTAAGGGAATTATAATTGCCTGCACTGACTGGATTGCGTGGAACAGCTGGGAGGGTGGATACAGGTTGAAATACCTACGTGAAACAGAGATTGTTTATTGGGATTTATCAATATGTTCTCGTATCAATTACAGGCAAGCAGGTGTATGGCAGGAAATCTGAATGAAACACTCTGCCCCTAAAATAAAATGAAAAGGAATTGTTGCAAATAAAATCTAGGGTGCTGCTTTAGGCTGTCATGCAGATGGGTGACAGCCCTGCTTCTCCTTTATTTCTAGGGGCTTTGCTGTTGACATTAATGCCAGTATTCATATAATTATTTTTTTTTTCTCAGTCTACT